CAGAGAATTCCTCCTCCAAAATTATGTCTGTGAGATCTCTTGCCTGCTTCTAGATGGACTTTCTTATTTTACTTTTCAGGATTTCATCAATCATTCAGTTGAGTTATGCTTCCTAAAATTGTTGGCACATATTATCGCTTCAAAACAATAATTGTGATTCAAATATGCTGGAATTCTGTGAAATTTTCAGGAGGTGGTAGACTGTCTCTGATTTGCTAGTTGTGTTGTTTTTTTTTTTTTTTTTTTTAGAGGTGCAAACACACTGGCAGTGCTTCCAAAGTCTTACATTTCTGTCATGTTTTTAGCATTTTCTCTTTTCTTTGTGAACAGCTGAATGGTATGTATTTTCTTCCATTTCTTTCTGGTGCTGGAATTGGTTTCTATTCTCATTAATCACAGGGTAGAAGATTTTCAGCCTTGAATTCCAGTGCCATTGATAAATACCATGGTGGCAAATGCCCTAAGCCAAAATGTAAATGTTCACTTTCTTACATATTATTAAAGGTAGCCTTAGTCTATGAAGCATTTGCTTAGAGATAATGATAAATAATGACTAGTCTATTCTTTCCTACATTGCAACTGATGTTCAGTATGTATGATTTACTATTATGCAAAAGTCGCTCCTTTGCTTGTGTTACAATGAATATAGTTTCAGCAGGGATGGGATGTACCTTTCTGCTTTCAAGTATGAATAAAGGAAACTATGAGTGTATGTAATTTCCGACATAAATATGAGAAAAAGTGGGAGCGAAAAAGTTGTGGGCCATTACCTTTTCTTGTATTTGGAAGGGGAAAGTGTTTAACAAAGCTTAAATAATAATGCTTTGGTTTTTTACAAAATGGGACAGATTTCAAACCATATTTTTAGTCAATTTGTTGCTAGCAAATGTTATTAAAATAATGATATGTTAGTCTGAGGCCACTAAATGGGCAACAGTCTGCCCAGTATAGTAAGATTTGACAATTAACCGTTACAATAGACATGAGTTTGTGGCATGTAACTATGTATAGAGAAAATATACTTGATATCCAGAGCACTGTTTAGCTGTAGTATATAGCCATACAAGTAAAGTTCTGGGTAGAGAAGAAAACAAGGTAAATATGTAGTTTGTTCATAGTAAATAAAAGCAATTATGTAACTACTTAGTGCATGGGGATATATATTTTATTATTTTTCCAATTTGAGTTGTTTTGCTTGATTTAGGGGGCTGGTTAACTCAGTCAGCAGAGTGTAGCTCTAACAACGCTAAGGTTGCAGGTTCGATTCCTGTTCGGTCCCCATGTGTTGCCTGATCTAGTCGAGAGGTGGCGTCCCTGGCAGCAGGGAGGCTGGATTAAAATGATCTCTAAGGTCCCTTCTAGCTTAGGCCATTCTATGATTTGGCTGGTATTTTTGGCCTTCACATCAAGCTATTGGAGCTTACCTGATCTGTAGAGAGTGGCAAATGAAGGATTTGTGTGAAGAGAGACAAGGATTTGTGTGAAGATTTGTGTGGTGAGACTCTGGCACAGGTTGCCCAGGGAAGTTGTGCCTGCTCCCTCCCTGGCAGTGTTCAAGGCCAGGCTGAGTGGGGCTTTGAGCAACCTGGTCTAGTGGGAGGTGTCCCTGCCCATGGCAGGGGGTTGGAACTGGATGATCTTTAAGGTCCCTTCCAACTCAAGCCGTTCTATGGTTCTGTGGTACGAACATATATGCAGTGGCTAAAATTGCACATACCTAGCAAGTGTCACTGCGAGACAAGAGGAAAGATGGGAGAAGTGACATTTCTCTCTCCAATCCCCTTCACAGAATCCCTGCCTCATGTTTTGATTTAGACCAGAATCTCAGCTTTGGTCTTGGACTATTAATTCCTTAGTTTTATTGTCTCTGTACAGATTTTCTGAGAGAGCAAGCGTTCCCATTAGCTTCAGTGATTTTTGCATTACCTGGGAAGAGTTAGGACTGACCTTATTTACCTAATATCACCCAACTAGAACTCTCCCAGAGATATGGCTCTATAAAACATAACTCTGAGTAGCTGACAAAGGAACAGTTATTGGTGTTGATTTAGAGAACATAATTGTTTTATTATCTATTATCAAAAAGAGGAATTTTAACATTTTCAGGATATTAGAAGAAGAAAGAATTTTCATACATGTCTTCAGAATGTTTCTACAATATCCAACGTGACTTTGTCTCTCAACAAACAAAAACCCCAGGAGGGCATGTTTTTTTATGCTGGCAACTAGGGATTTTATATTAATTTTAAAATCAGCGTTCTCATGACATTTAGAAAGCAGTTATTTTAGTGGTTGCGACTGAAGTCAGGAGCTCACTGATGGCACTTGCGGTGCATGAGTTTGTATACTCTATTATGAATTTTCACTGCAGACTTCCAGACATTTCTGCTGCCATGGGGAGCTGCACCAGGAACTTTTGGTTTGGCTTTTGGGCATGTATCTGATGGCATTTCCTCATAGCCTCAGTTTTGGTATAAACTTCCCCTCTGGGAATTAAGATCCATTCAGTATGTATAAAACTTTCATATGTAATTTCATACCTTTTTCCTTGCTGTCTTCTGAAATGTAAGAGCACGCTCTGGATTCTAATGAAGAATCTCTTGCCTTCATGTTTTATTAAGGCTCTTGTGCTTTGATGCTTGGGGTGAGTTCAGGTGAATTAAGGTGCATTGTTGAATTCTAAGGCTTGTCGCCTTGGAAGCATCCAAATATCTGCCATTTTCCCAGTGATTTTGCCTTTATTATCCTGGGTTTTGTCCACTTGGAAACGTGATAGATTAAGATAGTAAAATTTGTACTGCTCTTTCCAAACAAATCCACTGGTAAGCCATAGGATTCTACTATTTGCAAAGCATATTTATAGTTATTTAATTTTGTAGTTCTTTGTAAGAAAGAGCAGACAAAGAAGGTTTTAGCGAGAATTAGAAATAAGGGAGTTTAAAACTCCTAAAAAGAAACAAAAAGGCAGTTTTAAGCGAGGAAAGGGGTTTGACTGAAACCACCATAGGCTTGGGACTAAAACAAAACCAAACCTCAATGGAAAATAGCCAACAATACTTCCATAATTAAGAATGCTCAATCTTTAAGCTCGATTTATTTGGTACAGTCTTTTCCAAACTTTGGGAAACCACAATCTTCCTTTGACACACCCATCCTCATACAACCACGTGAGTTTGCGGCCACATCTTTGTTCCAGGAGATTGGTTGTAATTATTTTTTGGAAGTGCTTCCAGTAACTCTTATGCCCTGGAGGAATGGATCTGCTCTCGGCAGCTGGGGTTGGTTTGCCATCGTCCTGCCAGTGTCAATACTTACACCCCTTGCTCCCCTGTCTTGAAGGAAATGAAATGAACAGCAGCCAAATTGTTCCTGTTTAAGACTTTGAGACTAATGCTTTTGGGACACCAGGTAAAAAAAGATGTAGTGCCACAATTTAGGATACTCTGATGTGGATTTGGTGTTTTGGATTATGTCTTAATTTTCTGAAATAAACTTTTTAATTGATCTATATATATTCCCAAAGGACACCTTTATATCTGAACTATGTTGCTGGTATTACAAAGTTGTTTCAGGAGTCTAAATGCATTACACATACTTCAGAAGCTAATGAGACTCTTATATGTGTAACTGGATGTGTGTTACATTAATATTTGCTTCAGGGCTAAATTTTCCAAGTACCTTTAATTACTAGATGTCTTTACTTATTAGATAATACCACCAAAATTTTGTTAAGTTAGGATGATGATAGAGTTTAGATCTCGTGCTAGAGATCTCTTATTGGGCAAGTCTCCATGGTAAAGGTATTTGTTAAATATATTTTAGATTACAGCGGGGTTTTTTGTAAGTTTTCGTGCTTTTTTTTTTGTTTTTTTTCCCCAACCAAGTAGATGAATCATTGGAAAGACATAGACATAGCTATATAAATGTAGCATTGTAATAGTTACCATACTGCTATTTAAAAATCATTTAATAGCTGAGCATCTCGCTGTCATCATGGATTTATACTTCAGACTTCTCTGGGAAGTAAGGAAACATTCTTCTCCAGGTTCTAAAAAAAATGTTACTAGGCCTGCAAATTGAACTTTTTGGAGCCCTGTCCAAAGGAGCCAGGCATTTTTAAAAACTCTACAGCAGTGTGAGCTGGTGATACTGGAGTATTCTGTCTGTCTCTGAAGTTTCATGCTTCAGGAAGAGCCAAAAGTGGAGAATATTGATTTTTTTTTTTTTTTAAATATATTCTCTTAGAAGAACATCTTGATATCTTTGCATGGGGTGCATACCACTGAAGAAATGCAATATGTCATTTATAAACAACCTTCTGGTGTTTGTTATGAACAACAGCATTGTGCTGCTTTGTTCAAGGAGGAAGGACTTCAGGAGCTCAGTCGGTTAGAGCATGGTGCTGCTAACACCAAGGTCACGGGTTCAATCCCCGTTTGGTCCCCATGTGTTGCCTGATCTAGTTGAGAGGCATCCCTGCCCATGACAGGGAGATTGGATTAAATGATCTCTAAGGTCCCTTCCAGCCTAGGCCATTTCACTCTATGAGATTCTATCTAGCAGACTGAGAGCATCTATTTCAAAAGTATTGTCAGTTGAAGTGTCCTCCGAAACAAGAAAATGGTCTGACAGATCACACTGCAATGATCAATGAATTACAGTGTGACATTTTCTCAAGTGCAGACATTAGGAAAAAGTTTTCTCAAAAAATGTAGATTATATCAATAATAATGATAGGCTATTTCTGTGTGTGTCTAAGGTTAAATGTACTACAGTTATGATTTTTTTTTTTGGTAGTATGTCAATGAAATGAGTTCTTGTGAAGCAGTTTTTGGTTGCTGGTTTTTGTTCTTTTTTTTTTTTTCTAAATTGGTATTTTAGTTCCTGTTGGGAAGTACAGTTGCTTAATTTCCCTTGTTTGCTGCGTAACCTGTTGATGTTGCAAGTGTCTACTTCATTCTTCTCTTTCCTCTCTCTGCCCGCACAAAACCTGCAGGAAGTAATTTTGGTACTGCAAAGGATCTGACAGAAGAAATAAGATCATTAACATCTGAGAAGGAGGGGCTGGAAGGACTTCTCAGTGAACTGTTGGTTCTGAGTGCCAGAAATCTCCGAAAATTAGAGAGAGTCAAAGATGATTATACCAGACTGAAACAAGAACTTGAAGAAGGAGAGGCTGCCTTTGGTAAGTAGTTCACAGGCTGTTACAGCTTTTGCTCAGGCATGAGTGCCTAGAAGTCTACTGGGTTTGATGAACCATCCTGCATTTCACAAAACATACTGATTTTTTTAGAGGAAAGTTTGGTCAGGACCTATATAAGCAATATGCTGAATATGCTCTCAGCTCTTTCCACCGGAGACGGGCGAGATTGAGAGAAGCGATATCAGCAATATACAGCTTTTGGTGATTTGTCTTGGCTCAGTTTCTCAAAAAATCTCTTTTCTAAGCCCATTCATGTAATAATGGTGATGATACTTTGCATTTATTTGCATAGAGAGGAACATAAGTCATCTTTTGTAGGGAAGCAGTAGACACAGTTGACTCTGACAATTGAACCATATTTAGTATATATAACTAAATATTCACTATATATGTGTATATATATATATATATATAAAAACATATTTGGTGATGAGTCTGAATGTATGAGGTGAAAGGGATGCCTGCTGCTGAAGGCAAGAGTTCTCTTTGTAAATTTATGCTTGATGGGGTAGAGTTACACAGCTCTCGTATAACTATAAGCAGTGTGCTTGGATTGTAGTGTCACGGTGGAACTGAGGAAATTCTGTGTGATTACTAGTAAAGCTACTGACAACCAAATAGCAAAATCATTCCTAGACTTTGAGTTATTTTCTTGTCTGCTGTGCCTTCTCCTTAAGTTAAGCAGATGAAGAGGCCTTGCCGCTTGATTAAAAGAAAAGGTTGAATAACATTTAATTGACTACAAATGTACAGTTACTATAGTTACTTCTAAACAGCTAAGTAAATTCTGAGAACTACTTTAAAGCTCTGGGTCTTTGAAATATCTTTCCTTTTTCAGGATCTTATGAGCAGTAGGTTGGTTGAAGAGAGAAGTGCCTTTTAAGAAAGTATATGAAGTTTCTTTGTAGGCAAGAGCTATTTTAGAAACAGAAAGTTTTGTAGGCAGCCTAGGATGTCTAAGAGTATTTTAAAGATGTATACAGGAATATATATATATATGTATGTATGTATATGTGTGTGTGCACCACATTCTGATAGAGAAGAACTTCCTTAGAAACTAGATGGTTGAAAATGTTAAAAGTGATTCCTCAGAGTAATGAGTGCATTGTTTCCTGAGCTATATTGTTCAAACCTGTATCAGGCAATACTTCCTCATTGCTTGGATTCGAGGTGAAGGAGATTCTGACCTTCCAATCTGTCCATTTAGTTGCTCCTTTGTTTCTAGGACAATTAAACTTCCTGTAATACACATGCACTTCCCGTCTGAATTTTTCTTCAAAAGGGTTTTAAACAAGACTTGTGCAAGACTGTTGCTGAAGCAACATAATTGGTTGCGGTGCACAGATTATTTTTTTCCCCTTTGCGTTTATGTAGCTCTAATGAGGTGTCTGCTTGGTCTGACCTCTTCTGTCCTACAATTTATGACAATAAATTGCAAAACACTGTGTGTTTACTATGTGGATTGATCTTTTAATTTATCATGGTTCTTTAGGGGCAAGGAGAAATTTATCCTTGTGTAAAATAAAACTATCAAGTGCATGCTAGTAGGAGATACATAAATTGAAATCTGAGATCTTCTTTTTCCTCATCTCTGCCCCCTTGCATGTTACCTGTATCATTTTCTCCTTTAACAAATGGGAATTGACTTAAATTTGAGAACACCAGCATGAGTCTGATACTCTCTGGAGAACAGTAAACAGATTGTACCTTAAAGATGACATCCACTTTTGCGAATCAGTTGTTATTTTGTGCAGTGCTTTCATGTTTGGGGAGTAAAGCATAAACAATTGGAATGTGATTTTGTTACCATTTGCTTTTGCTGTTGTTCAAAAGAACTGGAGATAATTGCGCTCTCTTTGTGCGTGCTGTGAAAGGTGCGATTTGCATTGGGGTGGCTGAGCCAACTTACTGCGTGGCCTCCGGCTTTGTGGTTCATTTAAGCTGGTAAAATCTGCTGAGATGAGTGGTTTTACCTTGTCATTCTGTTCCTACCCCATCCCAAATGCCAGCTCAGCACTGAGCAGAAAGCTGATGTGAGCGGGGTGTTAGTTACCCCCATGAGACCCACCAGCATCTGGTGCGAGTGCTGGCACTGACATAAGGGACACCGCAGGGATGTGGAGCCGGTGATGGGGAATGTGTTGACCTGCTGCTGTTGGTGACACTGTGGTTTTGGAAGAGTGTAGTCTGGCAGGGAAATGACTCCTCAAGTGCTTCTGCTGCTTCAGCTCGTAGTGCAGCATGGGCTCTGCCACTCTGTGCTATGAGTTCAAATAGTGTGCGTGGCTGGTCCCATTGCTTGGTGCAGCCCACTCCTGATTAGTTTGACTTCTCCCTCGATAGCTACAAGGCAGGGAGACAAATCCTTTCTCCATCTGACTCTGCTAATTGAGGATGTTACTGTCCTCCTGATTTTTTTTTTTTTTTTTTTAACACTGTCTGTCTGCCCGAGTTTATTAGGGAGCCCTTCAGGCCAAATTAGCCATGCTAACTTAAACAGTAAAAATTATCTCGACTGAGCTGACTGATCCGTGTCCCAGCGTGCTGTAGGGATGTACCAGTGACTCCTCCCTGCGGCACAGTTGGGCTGCGCTTTGGTTCAACTCTTTATGAAATAGGTGTCCATCCATAAACTACACAGAGGTTACCAAAAGTAATGTTGAGAAAGAAGTACCTCATTCTTCCCGTCTTTTGAAGGTTTATGCTAGTTGAGATAAGTTAGTGGGTTTTATGCCTTTCAGTGTGAAAAGGAGATGCTTTATTTTTTTTCAGGGAAGGTAATCAGATGGTCTGGAGCTGTTGTCTCCTCTCACTCCTTTCATATTGTTTCCAGGAAATAATCTTCTTTCTCTGTATCAGGAATCCTTTTTTTTTTTTTTTTTTTTTTCCCCCCTAATATCACATCTTTAAACCTTCTGTGCAGGTATTCGTACACATGGCTATTTCTGCATCATCTGCCACTTGAGCTGTTGTTTTTTTCTTTTGTGCCTGTGAACTTCCTGAAAACTTTTTTTTTTTTTTTTTTAAACTGAAAATAACACCACATTGTCTGGAAAACATGAAACAAAGAAATTGAAATGCTAAAATATGTGTGTATGTTTGTCTTTCCCTTGTGTATAAATTGATCACCTATTTTTGATTTCTCACAGTAATGCAGATATAAGGAAGCAGACATCAAGGGAAGAGACTTAATCACACAATAATCAGAGCTGGAATTTTAACTAGGACAGATCATTTGCATGTTAATGAATTTTCTCACTTTGTGCCAGCTGCCCAAGTATAAAAGATATTGCAGATGTAGTGCAAAAATCAGGGTTGGCTGACTGTGCTGGGAGCTGTCAGTCCTCCCTGTAAAGAAGATTTGAAAAAAATTCTTTCATGTTTTTAGAGATGCTCAAAAATATGTTTTTCCCATTGGATTGTAGTCACGTTGACAAGTGATGCTATTTATTAGCATTTTTGAATGAATAGCACTAATTTGCCCTTTAGACAGTAACTTTCTTCCGAGGACATCAGAACACTTCTATAAGAGTGATCAACTGTTATTGCCATTGTACAGATTAGAAAGCCGGGGACACAGAGGTTATGTAATTTCACTGAGAGCGGTGGTAAAATAGAGTTTCCTGATTGAATTAATCACTTGGCAATAAACAGATTTGAAATCAAGTGATACTCTGAGCACTTTACATTCTTATGTAGGTATTTCTTCTCTAGCCTGAGACAACAGTTTTGGGAAAATCACTGAAGATCTTGTGCTTTACTGTTGAGCAGATCTGCCTTATAAAGTCGGAAGGTTCTGTTAGGACAAGGAAGAGAACTGCTTTTCAGCCCAAACCTACCAAACCTGTGTTCCAGACAAGTGAAGCTTAATTACTTGCCTGTCTGCCAAACTGCAGGATTGCACGTATAAATCCTGGCTTTGGCTGATTGGCGTTCGTAACCTAGGGCTGGAAATGAAACCTACCCTCTCGTCTCGCTTTCCTCATTACCACTACTGATGGGCAGGTTTTCCTGCCTCATTTACTGAATTCCTTTTCTGGCTGGACTCAGCCATTTTCTGCCCCTATTACACTTTTGGGAAAGCATCTCCTGGTAAATAATGTATGTATGCACATAAAAAGAGGGGACTGTATTTTGTGATCTAATTGCTAGGTTGTGCTTGCCAAGTCATGTTAAGTAGAATTTCGATGCAGGATTAATTTCTAGAGGAAATATAAAATAAAGGCTATCATGCCCATCAAAATAGCTTTTTAACCCTTTTTAAAAAAACTATTGTTTAGAGACTAATACTTCAGTCTCTCACTACTCAATTCTCATCGAGTTTTATTGTTTTAGAAATTGCATGTGTAAGTCCTAAAGCTTTTACCACCCTGCTTGTAGAGTGAAGCTTTTTGGAATTGAACAGATATATTTATTTAATAATGAATTAGATATAGCAAAGGGGTTTCTTAGGAAGCTGGAATTTTCTTTCACACTCTGTTTTTCTTTGTCTTGGTAAATGCACATACTTTGCATGCTTGCACAGAATATCTCATAGCTTTTTGTCCTCTGACATAAGAGAAACCTATCCAAGTAAATTTTTTAAAAATTGTGGGATTTTTATTTAAAAAAAGTGTGTTGGGGCTTAGCTACTTAAGAATAAAATGTACTTTGAAGCATATGAAAAAATTCTAGCCTTTTTTATGGTCATTGTTCAAAAAGCTGCATATTTGGCCATTATGAGGGCTGCAATTAATTAGTCTAGAGTTTAATATCATGTAGACAACAGAAACCACTTAGTGATGCTGCTTAAAGTAATACTAGTTTTGCATACTGAAATATTTATGAAAAGCAGGTTCTGTGCCTCAGTTTTAAATAATTGTTTTAAATAAATAAGCTTTTGAATAATGGCTATTATTTCTCTTTGTAACTGATTTTTTAAGGCTTTTTGAAAACGTCTAAAGATTATTGAAAACTTTGTACCACTTTTAATGATTTCAAAAATACCAAC